ACTGATTATATTTTAAAAATACATCCTTTCCATTAATAATAGGCTATAATTTTGTGAGTTAGATTTAATTTACTGCACTTAGAACTAAATTAAATCTATTGAATGAAAAGGGGAAAAAATGATTGACCAAGGTTGGTGTGGGAATGAGAAAAAAAGCTGTATAAAGTGCAAAGAGTGGAAATACCTCATTTTGTTTTAATAGCAAGAGATTCTTTTTCTTTTAGAATAAGTTGTTGATACACTTGCATTATCTAGACCTTCCATGTGATGTCAATTAAACAGTAAGTGCTAAGCTTCCTAACCAATGGCAACTCACGTATTTGCTCCCAAAGCAAACAGAAGAACTATGAAGCAAACTGCATATAGATACTGGCTTTAAATGTTCAGAAAAGATCTTTTGAATACAATGAAAAATTTTATATGCAGTAGTCATTATTATGACAAGAAATAAATCTGGGACAGGCCTCAGGATGCTGAAACTAGTCTTTTGCAAGTGCCAAAAAAAAAAAGCAAGCCTTTAGGAGGAGGAGAGGTTATGTTAACATAACCTACTTCCCATCTTTCCTGGCTTTCAAGATCAGAATGTGTTTGGGTATATTTAGTTTTACATGTAGGATTACGTACAAAGTAAGTTTATTCCAGTAGAAAGGACTTTGAGGAGCAAAGGCACACACAGAGGAAACTAATATTTGTTCAATGATGACTGTGTTCCAGGCAGGGACCAGTTCCTTTCCTTACATTATGTAATTTAATCCTAATCCTAATTGCAACCGCAACCACAACCTCATGATATAAGCATCATTGCATCCATTTTACAGATTCCTAACTGAGAATTAGGTATGTGTCTAGCTAGCATTGTGGTAGGTAACTCCGGGTACCAAAAATTTGCCACCCTGACCACCAGGACTAGCTGAAGATGACAAATCAGCATTCCATACTGTCACAGGCAAGCTGCTAAATAGTGTGCAGACACCGGGAGAACAGAATTATGGAAATAAGCTACTGATGATGACACATAAAAATAAATAAATAAATAAATAAATAAATAAATAAATAAATAAATAGTGTGGTTCAAGCAGGAAGGAGGCCAGGTGAGTTGGACTTGGCCTTGAAGAATCAAGAAAGGTACCTGGAGCATCATCTGAAGTGAGGCAGCAGCAGGAGCGAATGGTGTCCACCCATCACAAGGTAGGGAAGGGAGGGAGGAAACCCCGATTCTTCTAGTAGTGAGGAGGAAGAGAGGCCTGAGAGGAAGCTGGATGACTTAGAGGACAACCGGAAATATAATAGTCAATGACTGCTTGAAAGTTTCAAGTTGAGGAGAGTGAATCTGGAAAAATGACAGTTCAGAGAGGAAGGAGTAATGTTGAATTTGAGCTGCTAACAGGAAAGATAACCCTAGGAGAAGGTGAGGCTACAGAGGAACAAGCCAAGGGCCAAGAGCTGAGGAGGAAAAGTGGATGAGAATGAAAAGCCAGAGCAGAGAAGGGAGATGAAAGGTTGGGAACTTGAAGGCGAAAAGCAAAGGGTTAAATTAAGGTGGCAAAAAAATGGTAACAATGAGAGCCCCCAGTTCATTTTTCAGAAAATTCACCTGAGAAGTTTGAATGAGAGAAACAAAATGGTAACAGAGTCAACTCAAGTATTTGTTTGCTTTTTCAGAAGGGAGTTAAGAGTGCCTAAAGATAAAGGGGCAATAGGTAATCCTTCTGTTTCCAAGATTATTTCTTTTCCTAAACTTGCTGGTTCATTGTACTAATGTACTCTTTTTGAGTTGATAACTTTTTAGAAACAGGAAATGAAGCTACAGCCACCTGGGGCAGTCATGAGGTCCCAACAAGATTTCTTATACACATTTCACAATTGAGAAGTTAACTAGAGCTGGTCAGCTTTTTTCAATAAATGCTCCTAGAAAATGCATCTCCTTCCCCCTAGCCAGGTGGCTCAGGTGGTTGGAACGTTGTCCCATGTCACAGGTTTGATTCCCACTCAGGGCACTACACCTAGGTTGCAGGTTCGATTCTATGGGAGGTAACCAATTGATATTTCTTACATCTCTCTCTCTCTCTCTCCCTCTCCCTCTCTCTCTCTCTCTCTCTCTCTCACTCTCACTCTCACTCTCTCACTCTAACTTTCTCTCCCTTCTTCTTGCTCTCAAATTATTAAAAACAAACAAAAAACATATCCTTGGGTAAGGATTTAAAGAAGTATACTTAAAAAATATTTCTCCTTTGAACCCACATCACCTTAGCACCATAACCATTGTCACATCCCTGTTGGTCCTTGATGCTACCTCCTTCCACAACCTAAAACTGAAGCCCTGCCCTCTTAACAAAGTTAGGCTACATTTTCCAGCATCCTGAATCTCTCTCTGAATTGGAGTGTGGCTGCTTTCCCACCGCCATATCCTTTGATTTGTCATTTCTTATCACTTTATATCAGCTTTTTCACTGCCATTTCTTCTAACACTGTAACATTTGTATATTCTATACCCAACAAAGCTTTTTAAAAAATATATTTTGTTCTCCACAATCTTCATGCCATTCTTGCCTTTAGACTTCATGCACTATTTGCACAAAACTGGGTCACTATTATATACTTTCTTAGGTATCTAGTCTCATCTTTCTGTTATGTAACCCTCTAAAATATCCACCTCATTAGAGACCCAAATTACTTATTCCAATTGTCTTGCAATCCCCACTCAGGTTAATTTGAAATTACTCAATTTTTATTTCTAAAATGTCTTCCTTTTTTTAGAGCTAGGAATTTATACCTATCTTTTCTGAAAAGTTTTTGATACTCACTTTTCTAAAATCTCTAATTATGTCCACTGGGTTTTTGAAGCTCTAGGATGAGTCACTTTCCCATAAGATTCTTGTCATTTCCATGTCACCAACTAGTTATTCTTCGTTGGAAACAATTAAGTCTGAAACAGGAATGCCAATGCTCTCTCTCCATTCGAAGACACAAAACTGTCACCAAGACAAATCTGGTATTTATGAGATGCTCTGTGTTCAATGGAATGAAGCTCTCCGCAGATATTGACACAGAGTTCTCTCTTACTGTATGTCTTGGCTCTGTATAATACGTATCAAGAAAACTCTTACTTGAGTTAAACATCAAACCTGGGGTTTTGCAAATGATAGGAGAGGATGAGAGTGCTATTGATAACAGCAGAGAGTGATGTTTACCCACATTAAGAAAATCCACATACATCTAAGAGACCAACAAGTAAGGAAGGAATTTTCTAGAAAAAATTATAAAGTGCTCTTCTAATGCATTTGGAATACAATTTGATTCAATGAAAAAAAAAATCGTTGGTTCAATTTTTCAAATACATATTCATTATATGCAAAACATGACATTATCATGAGATGGTGATCGAACTCTATCTCCTTGATGGGAAAACTCAGCTTACATGATTCAAAACTAGGTGAGGCACAATGTGTCATCTGAGCTTTTTTTCTCTTCTCTTATACCTCAAGAACTGGAGGGGTAGCTTCATTCTGTTTCCTACAAGGTTGTATTTTTAGTGCCTTAGACTTTACGGCGCTCCATCTACCTGTAATTATGCTGCAAAAGAAGAAGATGATGCCAGGAAAGGCCAGCAGCAGACAAGACAGCAGAAGGCCTATTTGTGGTCTCAAACAGCTGCAGTAGGGCAGGGCGTGCCTGGCCAAGTTCCCTCTGACTCCGGGGCCAGGCATGACCAACCCTCAGAGCCAGACTTGCTTTCAGAACAGTCCCCAGCACAGGACATGATTTCACTGTCCTAGAAGCAAAGGGCGGCAGTCAAAGTCCAAGAGGGATGATCAAAAGCGTTAACACAAGGGAAGCACAGGGAGGGTGCTAAGACGATGCTCACAAAGCTCTTCAGATCCTAAAGAAACACCAGCCACGGTCCCACCCTCCTCTCTAAAACAAGACAAAGCAAAACCACCACCACTGCCTCCGCATGGAAGGCTCAAAGTTACGTTTAGTTCCAACTTGGAATTACTAACCAAGTAAGTTCTGAAAATGTTTTCTCTTAAAATAAGAGTAAGTCTAATTATTTTATCCAGGACAACAGAAAAATTGACGCTATTGATCAGACATTTAGAACTGGGAATATTTTTTTCAGGGAACAGGAAACATTCATTAGTGATGTCTCCTTTCTCAGGTCTGTAAAATCCCTTTGGTAAGGGACCCTTACTGTCTTTGGATAAATAAAAGACGCTGTTATAGGTGAAGGCTTTTACAGCTCAAAGTGATCAAAGGCCTTCACATCTTTACACCACAGTCCTTGCCCTGCACAGTGCTTCTGGCTCCTTGCTTAGTGAGTTCATGTATCTGCAACAAAGCAGCATATTTATATCCTACCGACAACATGAGCGTACAATGCAAACTTACTTTGGAATTGTATACATGTGTGCCTATCTCTCTTCACAAGACTCAGAAATGGTGGCAGTGAGGACAGAAATAGGAAGGTGGGGAATAGAATTCCCAAGGAGATGAGGGTAAACAACCAGGACACAAAAGTAGAGGTGGCTAATGAACACAGACTGCCGTTTCGTGGCTGGCATGAGGAGTTTTACACATATTTAGGATAAAGACCGGCAGTATTACCTTCCTGACAAACAGTGACAACTAGAGTTTCTGTCATTATGTGACCAATTGGCCCCTAGTTGTGCTCCCACCAAACAATGAGCACTCCTCCACAGGACTGAGCTACACGTTTTTAAATAATGCAGACTGTACCTCTCAAATGTCAATGAAGTCAAATTCTACTGAGAAACTGCTCCAATTTATTTTCTTACCTGGGCATTCTGATGACATTAATGCTGACTGGGTAAGTCCCCAAGGACTCAAAATCTGGAAACTATCACTGTGTCGATAATGAGGATTCACAGATCCATCTCGTACTGAACCTCTCTTAGAACACAGTTTATGTCACTCCACACAGTAATCAGATCAAAGAAATATTTAGCTGCTAGAAAACAATAGGAGCCGCTGCTACTTACGGCTGACACAGCTTCACCAGATCCTGGTCCGTGGTGTTGGGAGGCAGTCCTCGGATATAGAGATTCGTTTTGCTTAGCTGATCCCATCCAGAGTTGCTGCTGCTGCTGCTGTTGTTATTACTGCTGGTGGTGCTGGGGCTGGGAGGGGCCATGGGGTGGGCTGGCACCAGAGACTGCTGGAAAACAAAGAGCAGTGTTAGGAAGACTCTAGAAGTAAGGTATTTAGCAGCGTTCAGCAGCTGTTTGATTTGCAATGTGAAATGAAGTTACTAAGATATCAAGACAGGTTTTCTTAAGCTCCTTTAATATACTATAAATTTTAATTTATACCTTAAAAGACATGTTTGTCCTAAAAACAGCAACAACAAACTTCTCCCTTTCAACATGAAATTACTAATAGGATTTTATTCAGTAGAATATTCTGATGGGCACCTTACATATGACCGAATTTATGTAAGATTAATTTAGTCACACATTTTAAGGAACATACCTACTGAGACTCACAATTAACTTGCATGCAGGTATGTGGTAATATTTTAATACATGGTAATTTAGAAACCACTAGACTTTTGAAAAGGTTCTCACATTCTGAAGAATATCTGATTGAAAGTTGCTGATAATTTCATTAAGATAACTTGGGAGGAAATACACACATGATTACTCTTCACATGTAAGAAAGTTGAGAGTCTAATCAAGATGATCAAATAAGGAAAACCTCACCTAGCTCTAGGATAGGCATATAGTTTCACTGAGATCTGGGTAAGACTGACAGGAACTCCTCCTTTTGCTCTGGCTAACCTAGTGGGATTTAACCCCTGTGAGAATGGTGAAGTAAGTATCTGGAAACCTCCTCACGCCTTGCAGCAAGCAACATCTCTGTAAAGCTTGCAACCAGGGCTCAGTGTGGTTTCACAGTCAGCAGCCACTTAGGAAGAATGACTGAAACTGTGCCCACACCAGATAATTTTCTGTTAACCAATAGAAAGCAGCCACAGCCTCCGCCCCTATGCCACACACATGACTTTTGAGGAAGTTAGATGGTTCAGTTTGAGATGCAAGTGAGCACACCCCAAGGTGTCCTCACAGCAAATGCTCAGCAGCTTCCCAGCAGGATAGAAATGTTTTCACCTCACACCTTCTAAATAACAAATATACTAACTCAAGGAAGACAGCATTTAGGTTTACTAACAGCTTGAAGATATACAATTAAACAGACATTCAACCCAAATGTAAAATCTTATCTTTACTACCACAAACAAGAAAATTAGGCATCTCTAACACACAATTAAATTTCACTTTGGGAAGTTCAAAAAGCAAAACCCTTGCAATACATGTAACCTTCCATAAATTCAACTATCCATGATGGACAGCTGGCTCTGCAACCAGTTTCTGCCATGACCATCCTAGTTCGCCTGTATCACAACACACTGGGATCCCCATTAATCTGACATGAAAGCATTTCGCTTCTTTATGTCCTACTATAGATCCAAAGCATGAATTTGTGCACAGGTGGGGTTCCTCGACCTGGCCAGAGATCCAGGCCTATCAGGGGGCTGGCCGGCTGAGAGGAAGGACTGTGGGAGGTTGGCCTGTGTCTGGGTTGGGGGAGGGGCCACAGGATGTTTGCTGTGGGATCACACTGACCACCAGGGGGCAGCTCCTGCATTGAGTGCGCATCATAGCAACTGGTCGACTGGTCATTTAGTCGTCATGATCACTTAGGATTTTACAGAAAGAGATACTATGCAGATGTTACTTCTCACTGTCCAGGGTCCTTGAGTCCAAACACTACTTTACCTCATGAGACTCATTTTTATAAAAAAATTAGCAAGAAGAGTTAACAGTCAATGCAAAATAAAGGATGAATCTGAACTGGGAACATCAGCATTGCTTAATCTAAGATAAAACCTGTCTGAGATAAAATCCCATCAAGTGTCTTTGATTTATTAGTAAGTCATTGAGCTCCAATCCTTTCCTCTGTCCCTGGCTTTCTCTAAGGGACAGCGAAGCTGGGTTTCTAGATGTAGAATTAAGAATAAGCCCTGTCCCTTGCTGTGCCACAGGTGGGACCTCAGACGCCCAGCCATGCCACACACAGGCCTGTGTTTCTTCTCCAAAGTCACTCAGTCATCTGCGAGCTGCTCCCTGAAATGAGCCAGGCGTGCCTACGCCTCACCTCAGCGAACAGGGGTGCTGGGAAGTAACACAGAGCGGCCTCTCAGTCCCAAGCCTTTGATTTACACAAGAGCTTGTAGCTGTGGACAACGGAGGCAAGAATGAAATTTTTTCTTAAATCATCTTGGATGAGCACCCGAGAACTTGTCCTTGCCACAAGCCTCACTGTTCTTCACCCCAGGACCCTGTGTGTGCAGAGCAGCCGGGAGGGGATGACACCTGGTCACCGTGGGTAAGACCTGGGAAAGTCTGAAGGAAGCTGGGGGCCAGGACCCTCCTCTCCTCCCAGAGGGATTACACCAACACATTTCAGAGATGGCATTCCTAGTCCACATCAGCTCTAACCTCTGCTTTGCTCTGGGGTGGAAAATGGAGGGCCAGGTGTGGACGGTACGATAAAAAGAAACATTTAAAGGTGTGATTTATGTGGAGTTTATTTGGACATGAAAGTAGCAGGTTTTTATTTATGTATTTACTTTTGGCAGAAGTAGAAGCATGATTTACATCTCAGAATTTGCACAGCTGATTTAATATATCTTTGACAGGCCTCCATATTTATTACAGTAATATTTCCCAACTCTGGAAAGTAGGTGGGGAGCATGTAGTCGGTTCCTCTCCTCTTCCCCTCTGGTTTGCCCTAAGGGGAAAGAGATTTCCTAGAAGCCCGTCCCAGGTGGGAGAAGGGGTTTCCTGAATGTACCCGGAGGGGAACCGACTGACATCTGGTGAATCCTATACAGAGCAAGTTCAAATTCAAATGTTATCCTAATGTCAACTGTTCCTCAGAACTCGCTAACACAGAAAGATATCTGAACGAGAGAAGCACTGAATTATTCTAGGTTGTCAACTTTTTATTTCCTGGTGCAGAAAATTTTTCATCGAAGATTAAGTTTTTTAGAACTTGCTGAAAATAAACATTGAAGTCCTGAAAAAGACTGGACACATATTCAAAGAAGAAAATTCATACACAATAAAGCACAAGTACTCCTAAGAATTCAGAATGGGTTAAGGGTAATTCTAAACATGTGAGTAGTAATTTCTGTCATGTGTTGCCTGCTTAGTATGTGCCAGACATGGTGCCAGTTGCTCTATGTGCATTACTTTCCTTAATCCAATGAGGCAGGTACATGATTGTTCTCCCATTTTGCAGATTAGGAAACTGAGTCTCAAGGAGGGTTAAGGAATGTGCCAAGACCACACATTTAATAGGAGGCAGGGATGGAATTTGAACCCAGGTCAGCTGGATAATAAAGCTGGAACCCTGAAACAGTACTCTAAATGACATTCCAAACACTGTCTTCTATCTCCTAAAAGCCCTATCTGTAGTCTTCAAATTAACGTGAAAATACCATCAGTGCTTATGTTTTCCTAAGAAAAGCAGTCAAAGGTGCCTTTAAATTAATTTAATGAGCAAACAACTTGTGTGTGTGTGTGTGTGTGTGTGTGTGTGTGTGTGTGTGTGTAGTGTGTGTTTTACAAAGTTGGCTTAAAATAGTGTTTTTTTTTTTTAATTTTACCTTATTTATCTTTTCATTAACAAAAAGTCCAACGTTTTGAGGCTGAACAGAGCACTTTAGAGAAAGCTCCAGGTAACCAGCAAAGAATTAGACCCTCCCTCCCAGACTGAAAAGCACCAAGTCTTCAGCTGCAACTTCAGCACCGGATCACCTCAAAGCAATGGCATTTTGTAGTTATGCCTCAATAGCACAAATGTTAAACTTAAAAAGGAAAGAAAAAGAAAAGCTTACCAAGGGAGTACTTTTTACCAAACTCCATTTTCACCACTTTTTGTCCTTTTACATTTTGCTTCTCAAAGCCCCCAAGCTACCACGAAATTTGAGAAGACACCCCTCCCTTCCCCCTGTTCCTGGGATGAAGTCTGTAACTGATTTACTGGTACATAAATTCACCTAATTACGGAACTGGAAGGGGGGGGGGGGGGGGCCGAGGAGGAGGGGCAGAGGAAGGATACTATGCTAAGTGCTGGCTCATCCTAGTACTACGATGTTTCCCCTAAAATAAGACATCCTCCGAAAATAAGACCTAGCACAACTTTGGGAGAAAAATATTAATATAAGACACTGTCTTATTTTCGGGGAAACAGGGTAGTAGTCTACCTCAGAGCACAGTAGTCTATCCCAGCCTTCTCAGTCCAATTTCACTGCTTCAGGTCATAGAAACAAGCTACCTACCAAAGCTGCTCATCCAAATTCAGGGGAACTAATTCCATTTTTCATGATAACATTTGTGGGGGCTTAATTTGCATGTCAAAGTTGATAGAAAAACAAAGTCAGTGGTAAATAAATGGGGTGGCTCCATTAGCATTCCCCCGTACAAGTGGGTGTGGGCACCAGCAGGAAGAGAGCTTGTCAGCAATCAGGAGGACTTCCTGTGTGGAAAGCACTCAGGGAGGACTTCCTGTGTGGACAGCCCTGAGGTCTCCATCCCGCCAGGAAGACCCACAGGCTTCCTACATTAAAAGATAGGATGATGAACAACAGGCACATGACAACTATACCCACAGCAAATCTCTGCCTCTCCCTCACATCATACCCAGCACTAAGCAGTCTCTTCTATATAAATGAAAGCCTGAAAGTCTTTTACAAAAAAGGCAAAAATTAATCATGTGTGAACTAAAATGTAATAGTAACCATGTGTGTTCCTGTAGATGTCTATTCAGCAAAGACAATAAAAAATAAAGACCTATCATAAATTCTATTGTCTTATTTCCTTCCTATTTCTAAGAAGCTTACGAATAGTGCTCTGGCCAATCTTATAGCTAAAGCTGCCCTCTCCCTTCCCCCTTACTCAGTAACTTCCCTAAGAATTCTAATACCCTTTGAAGAAAAAGGAAACCTACAATCTGCCTTTTCATTACCCTCACGTCTTCGTTAAGGTTATCATCCTTACAGTTTAGGAGGGCTATAATCCATAATTTCATCCCCACCCTGCCACCTTCTCTACAGAGAGAGAGAGAGAGAGAGAGAGAGAGAGAGAGAGA